GGCATGCTCTCACATGTATGTTGAGATCGTCGATCAGGTCGAACAGTTGAAAGCATAGAGTCAGTAGGTTCAATGATCTTGTTGAGCCTTGCTTGTTTATATAAAACGCCACTGTTGAGTTGTCGGTGTGGATCATGAGATGCGCATTCTGTAGAATGGTGCTCCAATGAAGTAAGGCGTTGATTACTGCTTTCATTTCGAGCATGTTGATGTGCAGATTGCTCTCTTCTTGGTTCCATAACCCTACTGTCGTCCGGTTGGCGAGATGAGCTCCCCAACCTTGGAGCGACGCGGCGACATAGAGATGGGTCTTGAACTCCGGCTCTGTTAAATAGATGCCTTCACAAACATTCGACCTCCGGGTCCACTAAAGTAGATGAGGTCTGAGGTAATTCGGTAGACCGAAGGGTTGAAGGTCGTCGAGATGAGCGTTGATGAGGACCTGTAACGGGCGTAACTGTAGTCTGCCTCTGGCTGTCATGTCTTGTGCTGACGTGAGGAGACCCAACAGACTCTGCCACTGTCGTAGTGGCAACGGAGAGAGTAGGGCTTGAGGGATCGTCTGTTGAATCTTGAGCCATCGGTCCTCTGGTACGACGATACGGTTCTGTGTCGTGAGAAATCTGATGCCTAGAAATTGCAGGTCTTGCGTAGGTTCTAGGTCCGACTTGAATAGATTCACTAACCATCCTGGCTGCGTTAGTAGTTTGATGGTGGAATTCAACTGTAGTTTGAGGCGCTCTGGATCTTGATCTACTTGAATCCCGTCGTCGAGGTAGAACGCACTGCGTAGCCCTTGACGATGTAGGTAAGTGACGATGGCTTTCATTATTCTTGTAAACAACCAGGGGGCCGATGATATTCCAAACGGTAGGACCTTCCATTGGTAATGTAGCCCGTCTAGTGTAAACCGTAGGTACGTCCTCGAGTCGGGATGTATCAGGATATGCAGGTAGGCATCCTGTAGATCTATACTGGCCATGTAGTCCATCAGACGAACGAGGTGCAGTATATGAGGTAGATGTATCATGCGAAACGTTGGCGGTTTGCGTAGATAATCCCTGTTGAACGTGCTCATGTTGTAGATGAGTCGGAACTTTTCCTTGGAATTTTTCTTGGGCACTAGGAAAACTGGGGAGTAGAAACCTGGTTCGATGTTTACTTGATCCACGATTTCTATGGCTTGCTTGGTTAGGAGAGATGAAACAGCTTCTCGTAACTTCAGTAGTTGTTGTGCCTGGAAGTCGAACTTGTGAGGGTTGACTGTAAGCGGAGGCGTGGCCTGTAGTTGGATGCGATATCCGTGTTGTACTTGTAGGATGTTGGAGACATATGGATCTTGTAGTATTCCCCAGTTCTCCCAGTGCAGTTGAAGGCGTCCACCCACTTGTGAAGGTTGTACAGGAACGGCTGGGGGGGGGGAAGACTCCAGTCGTTCCGAACCCGTCTTTCATCGTCGATAGTTGCGGGAGCCTCTGCGTGCCCTGCCTCTTCCAGATCCTCCCCTGTAGTTGCCGAATGGGCAACGAAAAGAGTCCTTTCCACCTCTGGAGCCGGCCATTTTCCTGTCCCGTGCTTTCTGTAAACCAGTAAACTTGGATCCTCCGGAATATCTTTGTGATGTCCGTCTGATGACGCTGGCCAGAGTGTCAATAGATTTAATCATGAGGACTTCTCTTGAATCCTTGGTGACTTCTTTAGAGACTTTATCAATTCCTCCAGCGAAGATGGATGGAGTTGACCAGGGGGGCTGTGTAGAGTGGTGTTGTGAACTGTTCACCCCAACTGCAGGTGGCGAGGAGACCAGCCAGAGTAAGAGCTGCGGAGATCGATGAAAGGTGATCCGTCATGAACTGTTGGTCCTTCTTTTGCATAAGGAGGGCCGAGTATACCATTCTGTCGTCTTCTGATGTGGAATCTCGAAACCTAGTGATGAGAGTTTCGTTGATAGTCCTGGATCTGTTGAGGCCGAAAAACATTATTCTGGTCATTGTCTCGACTTGAGCCAGCTTGCGGTCCTCGATCTTGTATGCCTTGGCCTTGGCATCGTTGATGACTTTAAAGTTATCGTCGATTTCTTGTGCTTTAAAGAAGGGGTCCATATTATGGGCAGAGAACTTCTTGGCGTTGAACTGAGGTAAGTGCGTCGCCCGAGCTTTAGTGGCTGTTTGGAAGGCTGTATCCAGGTTCTGTGGAACCGTTGCTATAGGATCAATCTGAGGTAGGGTGATCGTGTCGTCGTCCTCCCTCATAAGATAGGTGTGAGCCGAATTATCATCCTTAGAAGGTGAAGCCAAGTCCAAGTTGTTGACCATCCAGTAACGGATTTCCGCGTCGGAGAATATGATGCCTCCATCATCTTCAGTAACCGGATCGCTGATTAGAGGCTGATGGTACTCTTCCGATGGTGACTGAGGTGGAGTCCTGTATAACTGTACAGCTCTGCATGGCGAAGTACGAGGAGACCTGTCCGGAGACCTTCGTGGAGACCTGCACGGAGACTTGAGAGGTGACCTGCGTGATGTCCTGCGTGGCGCTCTGCGTGGAGACCTACGAGGAGATCGACGAGGAGAATGGCGAGGAGATCGACGTGGAGAACGGCGAGGAGATCGACATGGAGAACGGCCCGACGAGCTGCGTCTGTAAGGCGACCTTTGCGGAGACTTGCGCGGAGGTGAACGACGATAGCTTCGCAAAGCTCCTGGGGAATCCCTCGATGACCTCCGAGACGAAGATGACTTGGAGACTGTAACTGGTGTCCTTGGCGAAGGCCTTCGCGAAGCTTCATCTGAGTCCGCATCTGGGGAGTGACGACTTGTCCTTCACGAAGCTTCATCTGAGTCCGGGGATGAGAGGATCCTCCTTCGCGAACGTTGATCATCGGAGTCCGAGGCAGGTGACGATCTAGAGGTCCTTCGCGAAGGCCTTCGCGAACGCTGATCGTCTTGGCCCTACGCAGAGGTAGGCTGTGACGTCCTTCGCGCAGGCTGGTCCCTCAGTGGTGACTTAGTAGCAGCCGCTACGTTGATGGGAGGTCCCTCAGGGGTGACGTCTACGTTGGGGCCTTTGCGAAGGCTCAGGCCCTGGGCTGGTTGTTTCTTCTCCAGTCCGTAGCGGTCTTCCATCATCTTCATTAGTTGTTGCACCAGGTCGCCCGGGACGGTCTGCGAAGATGTAAGCGCTGCCCTATCTGCGTTGGTAGCGACGGGACCCATGGGAAGATCGTCAGTCATCAGCGTTGATACATCAGGCTGATTGCGGATCTGCGCTGACGTCACTGTAGCTGAAACCGGTCGTTTCTTGTGATGAACCTCGGGTATGATGAGCGGCTGTCTGGTGATGCAGGACGCTTCTTGGAGATGGCGGACTGCGTCCCACGCCTCTCCTCCGAGGGAAACTCCAGCGGATCACCAAACAGGAGGGGGTCGTCCGACAGCAGTTGACTTGAGAGGGATTCGGTAGCATTATCCATGCCTGGATGTAGCTTACGTGACCTATCTGCTGCGCGTCTCAAGACGCAAAGTAAATATTTGTTAAAAGCAGAATTAGATAAATTATTACAATAACTGCAACGTGAACTGAAGGAACATGGTACAGTACAGCTAGGGCATATTAAATGCGGATCAGCAGCAGAAAAACGTAACTTGCAAACAGTACAGATTTTCATGAACGTAACCTACTGAACAAACACGGCATACACCGCGAATAAACAGCAGTAAATACGAATAATTATCAAAACATATTGTTGAAGGATACTAGCTAAACCTCTATAAGGGACTTGTAGAGGTAACTAAGTAAGAAAAATCAAAGGATATAGTGCCCTAGGGAGACACAGGCGCTCTCACATCCTGCTCACTGGGCAAAGAAGGAGAGAGTGAAGCATGTGGGGCACAGAGGCGCCGTCTTTCCCGCCAGTGGAGCAAAGAGGGGCAACTCTTGGTGAGTAGTGATTAGTGATTTTACGTATGTTTCAATTGAAGGGAGCTTCAATAGGGAGATACAAGTGTTCCACTATGTTTGCAAGAAGAAGAAGACAAGCAAAAGAGCATGAGTCAGGATAAGGAAAAATATATAAAAAGTCAGTTGAATCAATCAAATACGTTTTTAAATGCGGACTATGGCTGAAATAATGCCGATGTGACGTAAAGCCCAACTCAACTTTAAATGCGGCACACGCTTTCTCAGGTGGATATTATATAAGGTTAGCAGCCGGATTCTGTAATGGTGCATGCATACACGTGTACGTGTTTCCATATTCCAGCAATAATGCGGTGGTCTGTAAATGATCGAGTCTGACCAGACAATCCAGTGATCAACATCATGAGCACAGATCTACGCAGTTGGGATAAGATGACATGTGTCAACCATGTCAGCGAGCCTAACCACCCGATCCCGTTAATCGCCTCTTACGACAAGCATGGCTTGGTGAAGACCAATTCTAACCAGGATGTTCACGGGTCCACAAACCAACAGGAACACACAACATAATTGTCAGAAGCAGAGACCATATACCGATCAGTGTCAAACGCATGGCAATTCATCCCCCTAGTTAATTATTTCCACTTTTAATCCAATTTAAACATGCAAGACGATTTGTTTTCTATCACAATATCTGCATCATTTAACACTGTTCGGTGTACTACCTTAATTAAGTGAAATTGGTCAAATTGTTCACAGAAAATAAATGTGTAGTTATTGCTTTGTTAATTAAAAAGTTCTAAATACAAAGTTATTTCGAGGATGTTTTTGCCGTAGAGTCGTGATGAGACAGACATTGTTGCAGGGAGTTCTCTCATCTAAGACCAATCATCTCAAATCCTAATAACAGGATTGTGAAAACCGATTCTGTAGCATGCTTTACCGAAATGAGTTTTTCATTTGAGGTGAGAAATATGAGAGAATACATATGTACCAAGAATAGTTCAGCAGCCCAGCATTTGGTATCATCTGTAAACAACAGTTATACGCAGGAATATGTTCAATAAGTAATATCAAACTGCTTTCCTTTCAAATTATGTTTTATTTTGTTCTGATATTATCATCACAGTGAGTTGTATTCAGTTCAGGTCCTATATAGTGGCACTTGTGGCCTCGTCATCTGAGGCAGCAAATTCTCAGTACAGAAATGCTTCCTAGAAGCTAGAAACCTGTGACTGTGGATCGGAATCCCTGTTTCCCTGAATGTCTAGGTCCAGGTATGTTAGCACCAACCCAATACTCTTGGGTTTCATCAAAGTGGTTAGCATCTAAGACTGTTATCACTTGAGGCAAATGAGGCCGTATTCATTTCCATAACAAATCAATTTTTAAACTTTATTTGTTGAAAAAATCTGTCATTTTCTTGCTTCCAGATTTGAATTTCTTTTTCTTCCCATCCTCCTCTGCTGAAGACTTACGTTTCTTTGCAGGACTTTGAGCACTTTTCTTTGTCGTACCCGCCATTTCCTTCCTCTTGGCATATGCAGATGCCATTTTCTTTATGTTGGCCTTTCGGACAAGGTCGTGGTCTACTATGGGCTTTGGGTAATCTTTGCCTATGATACAACCTGCAGCCTTCTGTACTGACAAGGGAGACTTCCATGGCTCGTAGATGTACTCTGCTGGCAACTTCTTCAGCTGAGGCAGGTACTTCCTGTTCAGAGAATGATGGGAAATAGTTCACAGAACATATGAAAGTAATGATCATTAAAACCATTTTAGATGATTAAAACATGAATATTCTCTATTGGTATTTTTTAATACAATTTCCAAAACACATAATTGCTAAAAGGGGTTCGAGAATTAAAGTTGATAAAGCAAGTCTAAAGTACTAAAAGAACTGAAAAGGTCCCAGCTCCAAAACTTAATTTAAGCATAGTTTTACTTTCAGCAGTATTCCCATAATATCACCAACAGTTACCAGAAATTGACATTCACACATTGCTCCCATGCAAGGAATCAGACCTGGGCCTTTGGCATGACAGTTGAACACTTTGATCATTAGGATACCCCATTGATTCAATACTTGTAATCCCGTCAGTTTCTCCCATTGCATGACAGGAGGCCACCGACAAGAAGACATTCACAGTGAGTGAGTTTAGTCTTACACCGCTTTTAGCAATATTCCAGCAATATCATGGAGGGGACACCAGAAATGGGCTTCACACATTGTACCCTGGTCAAACCCGGGTCTGCAGCATGACAGGCAAATGCTTTAACCACTAGGCTACCCCACATTGTATCAAAATGGGGAACCAAACCCAGATCTATAGCTTCACATGTAAAAGTTTTTACCACAATCTAATCCCTCCAAGACTTTACTGATCATGTCTACCTTATGTAGTCACCATTCTTGTCGGTCTTCTTGCCGAAGGCGATGGGACTGTAGACTCGGAAATACTGGTGGAAGAATGCACTGGCAGACAGCCACATCCAGTTCCCTGCATTCAGACTCCAGTCCGCATCCAGGAGGAGCTCCTCAAACACCTACACAACAACGAAAAGAACAGATGGAATGAAGAGAGTTGTGTTCCTACACATCCTGCGTAAAGACTCCAGTCCGCATCCAGGAGGAGCTCCTCAAACACCTACACAACAACGAAAAACAGATGGAATGAAGAGAGTTGTGTTCCTACACATCCTGCGTAAAGACTCCAGTCTGCATCCAGGAGGAGCTCCTCAAACACCTACACAACAACGAAAACAACAGATGGAATGAAGAGAGTTGTGTTCCTACACATCCTCCGTTAAGACTCCAGTCCGCATCCAGGAGGAGCTCCTCAAACACCTACACAACACCGAAAAGAACAGATGGAATGAAGAGAGTTGTGTTCCTACACATCCTGCGTTCAGATTCCAGTTCGCATCCAGGAGGAGCTCCTCAAACACCTACACAACAACAAAAACAACAGATGGAATGAAGAGAGTTGTGTTCCTACACATTCTGCGTTAAGACTCCAGTCCGCATCCAGGAGGAGCTCCTCAAACACCTATACAACAACGAAAACAACAGATGGAATGAAGAGAGTTGGGTTCATATACATTCAGAAACCAGTCACCAATCAGTAGGAGCTCTTGGAACACCTACACAGCAATAAAAATAACAACTGCCAAGTACAATTCAGTTTATAAACATTCAGTTTCCTGCTCCTAGATGGTGGGCTCCTACCCAACAATGAGGGTACATTTATCTACAGTAGCCTGCATACCTTCTGCCCCTCCTCCCAGCTGATCCATAAGTCACCACGGGTCAGGAAACAAGCAACTGCATGTCGGGCAAGATGGTGGATCCATCCTTCCTGTCTCAGCTGGGTCATGATGGCATCTATAAACGGGTAGCCTGTCCGAGCCTGGGGATAGCGAACAGCAACTATTGGGTAAAATCATGCTTAACCTGTTAATAGATGAAGATGAGATGTCTGCAGTCAACATTAGAATCCATTACCATGTATTCTTACTCACTGGTCACTATGAATCAACAGTCTTTCAAAAGAAGCTACACAATTCCAGGAATTCATTTGCACATGTTCAAACAGATGAAACATGAAAGTTTGTTCTTTTCTGCCAGTTTGTAAAATAGTTATAAACCTAAACCTTGAGCTGGAGGTTCATGATAGATGAACACTCAGGTGCATACACTTTACACAAACCTGTGACCTCATCCCCACCCCCAACACACATCTTGAGCCCACTTTATCCATGTGTCCACAACCATCCTGTATCCCATTGACTTGTGTCCCCTACGTATTGGTGCCCAAATTTTATCTTTGCGGTTTGCACCCAACGATAGGATGGCTCAGTCAAATTCAATATCAGTCAAATTCAATATCATTTAAATAAAGTCAAATTCAGCTTTTTCTTGAGCAAATTCGGTCAAATGATCTTTGTCGCACAACACATCCACTCCCACTAGAATCAGTCTTCAGAAACCCATGTTTGTCGTAAGAGGCAACTAACAGGATCAGGTGGTCAGGCTCGCCAACTTGGTTGACATCGTATCCCAATTGTGTGGATCGACGCTCATGCTGTTGCTCACTGGATTGTCTGGTCCTGACTCGATTATTTACAGACCACCACCATTTGCTGAGTAAGGTGTTAAACAACAAACAAACCATCTCAAACTAGACAGATCCACCCCCATATGCAACTGACCCTCCGCTCTATCCCAACTGACCCGTGTCGAAGATCCCACTCCCATATCCAACTGACCCTCCACCCCATCCCGACTGACCTGTGTCCATGCCTCCAGCAGCTCCTTGTTGTCATCCCAGGGCACCTGTGTACAGACAGAGTTGCCCTCCATCTGGTCAAAGTTTGCTGTCCCTGATGCCACCGTATAGAAGAACTCCCGCCACAGCAACTGTCCGTGCAGGGACACTGGGGGCTGGGTGTGCTTCTGTAACACAAACACATCCATTGAGGCATCATTTTAGTGGTGTCACCCACTGTTGTCGGCAGGTAATAACACACCATACAATTTTCACAGCAAACATGGAATACTTGCACATCACCATTTCACCTCACCATTTCACCTCACCTGTTCACCAAACCTATTCACCACACGATTCCACCTCACCTGTTCACCAAACCTTTAAACCTCACCTGTTCACCAAACCTATTCACATCACCTGTTCACCAAACCTTTTCACTTCACCTGTTAACCAAACCATTTCACCTCCTCTATTCACCAAACCATTTCACCTCACCTATTCACCACACCATTTCACCAAACCTTTTCACCACACAATTTCACCACACCTGTTCACCAAACTTTTCCACCACACCATTTCACCTCACCTGTTCACCAAACTTTTCCACCACACCATTTCACCTCACCTGTTCACCAAATCTTTTCACCACACCATTTCACCTCACCTGTTAACCAAACCTATTCACCACACTATTTCACCAAACCTTTTCACCACACCTGTTCACCAAACCTTTTCACCACACCATTTCAATTCACCTGTTTAGCTCATCTGTTCACCAAACTTTTTCACCACAGTGGGGTAGCCTAGTGGTTAAAGTGTTTGCTCGTCCCACCAAAGACCCGGGTTCGAGTCTCCACATCGGTACAATATGTGAAGCCCATTTCTGGTGTCCCCGCCATGATATTACTGGAATACTGCTAAAAGCAGCATAAAATCATACTCACTCACTCACCACACCATTTTCACTCCTTAGCCATAAATCCCATAGCACCCTCTATCCATACAGCTGTTATATCACAACATCTCAACGCATTCCTCCCCTCGCTGCTCCTTCACCTTGTTGACTCGGTAGACATCCAGTAGCCGGAAGTAAAACGTGCGAGCAGACAGACAACCAAACTTGAGGTAAGGGGAGAGAACTGTGGTGCTGGGCTGAAGACTATTAGGCTCCGTCTTGGGCTTTTCAAAGCTGCAGACCCAGTTCTGAAACAAAAATAAAGCTGCCTAGTCATGATAACATAAAGTGGAGCATCTGCACTTTCTTCCACCATGCAACCTGAATGTCACCTTGCTGTTGACACTGTAAACATGATTCATGACAGGTCCTTTGAATGTTACAAGCACACCTCTGTTAAATGAATAATCCGTATGTGGGTACCTTTCACAGAATACTCTCTGCCCAGTGTCCGCTTTACACCAAGGGTCCCTAGAGCTAAGACTCCTCGGTCAATGTTAAAGTTTGGGCGTTAATATCTTCTAAGCGCCATATCGCATTGTGGATGGGGAGATGAACTTTAAGATAAGATGTACATGCAGCATTGAATTTGCAGTCCAGGATATATTTTTCAGTCTACCTTCAAACTTAAGTTTCCAGATGTTCTTTATTTCAACTCAAATTTGTTTCTTGTGCAACTTAGTACTGTTGGCCCTTGTATAAATTATAAGAGAACATGTTGAATTTTTTTAACATCGTTAAAGCTGAAAAAACTAAATTATTTGCCATATATTTTTAGAGCTACTTCCTCCTTCCTTTGACGCTTAAATTAAGGGACCGCCTCTATGGTGTGTGGTTAGAGCTTCCGCCCGGAAAGCGGAAAATCCCTGGTTCGATCCCCGACCGCGTCAGACCAAAAGACATTAAAATATGGTACTTGTTGGTCCCTGCCTGTCGCTGCGGCATGGCATTTTAGTGGGCTAGCACTATAACACCAGCTTCAGTCTGGGCTAGCACAAGCAGCCACACATACACACGCATGCACGTCATCATATGAGCGAAATACTCTCATGCATGACATTAAACCCAATTTCACCTCACCTTAAATTCAGAACTATTCATTGGATATACAATTGTCCCACAAATAAGCCCCACTCAAATAGAAAGTGAGTGAATGTTGTTTAACCTGCAGTCAGCAATAATTCAGCAACAACGAAAAAGAGTGGTTGAAATCAAGACCAATCATCCATTCCCATCAGGCTCCGATGATATGCAGGCAACCCTGTTGTCAATCCTCAACACCACATCCATCTAAACCGCATCATGAAAGAACTAGAACTGTAAATGTTTAACTTCAAATGCCTAATACACAATAACGTCATTATGTTTAATCTGATAGGCCTTTTTGAACATATTTACATGGATGAATAAGTGTATGAATTCAAATAGTGCAACTAATAAGTTTTCCAAAACCTTTAACAAAGCTAAGTCAACTTCCAAGCTGTGAAATGATAACACTATCTGCTGTGACCAAGCTCCTAATGCACAACTACGTCTTAACCAGGCTGGACTAATGCAATTCCCTCCTCAGTGGCACAAGCTCCATTCAACACATGCAAAGAGTCCAAAAGACTGCAGCACGCATAATATCAAGATTACGGAAAACAGACCACATCACTCCAGCCATGAAAAATCTACACTGGCTTCCCATTAAGCAAAGAATTCACTTCAAAATCCTCACTCTGGCTTTCAGCGCTCTACATGACCCGAAGTCGCCCCAATACCTCAAGTCATTACTATGTCCATACCAGCCCACAAGAAATCTGAGATCAGCAGACAGACAACTTCTCGCTGTACCTGAAACTAAGACTGACTGACTGACTGACTGAGTTTGGTTTTACAACGCTTTTAGCAATATTCCAGCAACATCACGGCGGGGGACACCAGAAATGGGCTTCACACATCGTGCCCATGTGGGGATTCGAACCTGGGTCTTCGGCGTGACGAGCCAACGCTTTAACCATTAGGCTACCTCACCGCCCCTGAAACTAAGACTAAACTGGCCGAGAGGTCCTTCTCAGTTCTGGCTCCAGTACACTGGAATCGTCTGCCTCTTGACATTAGACAGACTAAAGACTCACAGACCTTCCGACAACAACTTAAGACATTTCTCTCCCGAGATGCATATCCCTAGACCATCCAGTTAAACTGTAGCAGCTCTGTTGAGCAGCAGATACGCAGGAAACCAGGCGCTATATAAATTTATTATTATTATTATTATTATTATTATTATATTATTATTATTACTCACCGTTTTCTTGAGATACCTCTCCATACGGACCAGTGCCTCTGTCTCCCCACCAGGGTACAGGTTCGGACCCAGGTCATCTTGGCACTTGTCCAGCTCCTCCAGAGTCGGAACTCTGTACTCTGTGTCGTCTGCTTCAGGGGTCCGACAGTCTACAACATAGAGGCAGTCGGGTGCAAAGCTGCTTTGAACAATAGTTTAGTTAGATCACTTGAAACTTATACTGCAGTTATAATAGGTCAAACATTCTCTCACAGTAGTCTTCCAGTAGCCACATGCTAAATGATTATGAGTGACCATGAAGACAGCAGAACATCACGTAAGGGGAGGTAACTGTGGTGCCAGGCTGAAGAGTATTTGTTTTAGGCTTTTCAAAGCAACAGATCCAATTAACAATATTCCTGGAAATTGTGTCATGCTATAGTGAAATAGTTCACCATTTTCAAAATACAAAGATACCCAAACCAATCCTAAAGGTCAAAGAGTGAGCTGCAGTGAGCTGATTATTCCTTTATACAGCACACACACCGGTCAAAATGTCAAAGAGTGAGCTGGAGTGAGCTGATTATTCCTTTATACAGCACACACACCTGTCAAAATGTCAAAGAGTGAGCCGCAGTGAGCTGATCATTCCTTTATACAGCACACACACCTGTCAAAATGTCAAAGAGTGAGCTGGAGTGAGCTGATTATTCCTTTATACAGCACACACACCTGTCAAAATGTCAAAGAGTGAGCTGGAGTGAGCTGATTATTCCTTTATACAGCACACACACCTGTCAAAATGTCAAAGAGTGAGCCGGAGTGAGCTGATTCCTTTATACAGCACACAATTTATACAGCACACACACCTGTCAAAATGTCAAAGAGTGAGCTGGAGTGAGCTGATTATTCCTTTATACAGCACACACACCTGTCAAAATGTCAAAGAGTGAGCTGCAGTGAGCTGATTATTCCTTATACATACACACACACACCTGTCAAAATGTCAAAGAGTGAGCTGCGAGTGAGCTGATTATTCCTTTATACAGCACACACACCTGTCAAAATGTCAAAGAGTGAGCCTGGAGTGAGCTGATTATTCCTTTATACAGCACAAACACCTGTCAAAATGTCAAAGAGTGAGCTGGAGTGAGCTGATTATTCCTTTATACAGCACACACACCTGTCAAAATGTCAAAGAGTGAGCTGCAGTGAGCTGATTATTCCTTTATACAGCACACACACCTGTCAAAATGTCAAAGAGTGAGCTGCAGTGAGCTGATCATTCCTTTATACAGCACAACACCTGTCAAAATGTCAAAGAGTGAGCTGGAGTGAGCTGATTATTCCTTTATACAGCACACACACCTGTCAAAATGTCAAAGAGTGAGCTGGAGTGAGCTGATCATTCTTTTATAGCAGCACACATGTCAAAATGTCAAAATGTCAAAGAGTGAGCTTGAGTGAGCTGATTATTCCTTTATACAGAACACACACCTGTCAAAATGTTAAAGAGTGAGCTGGAGTGAGCTGATTATTCCTTTATACAGCACACACACCTGTCAAAATGTCAAAGAGTGAGCTGCAGTGAGCTGATTATTCCTTTATACAGCACACACATGTCAAAATGTCAAAGAGTGAGCTGGAGTGAGCTGATTATTCCTTTATACAGCACACACACCTGTCAAAATGTCAAAAAGAGTGAGCTGGAGTGAGCTGATCATTCCTTTATACAGCACACACACCTGTCAAAATGTCAAAGAGTGAGCTGGAGTGAGCTGATTATTCCTTTATACAGCACACACACCTGTCAAAATGTCAAAGAGTGAGCTGGAGTGAGCTGATTATTCCTTTATACAGCACACACACCTGTCAAAATGTCAAAGAGTGAGCTGGAGTGAGCTGATTATTCCTTTATACAGCACACACACCTGTCAAAATGTCAAAGAGTGAGTGAGCGAGTGAGCTGATTATTCCTTTATACACGCACACACACCTGTCAAAATGTCAAAGAGTGAGCCGCAGTGAGCTGATTATTCCTTTATACAGCACACACACACCTGTCAAAATGTCAAAGAGTGAGCCGCAGTGAGCTGATTATTCCTTTATACAGCACAAACACCTGTCAAAATGTCAAAGAGTGAGCTGGAGTGAGCTGATTATTCCTTTATACAGCACACACACCTGTCAAAATGTCAAAGAGTGAGCTGCAGTGAGCTGATTATTCCTTTATACAGCACACACACCTGTCAAAATGTCAAAGAGTGAGCTGCAGTGAGCTGATCATTCCTTTATACAGCACACACACCTGTCAAAATGTCAAAGAGTGAGCTGGAGTGAGCTGATTATTCCTTTATACAGCACACACACCTGTCAAAATGTCAAAGAGTGAGCTGGAGTGAGCTGATCATTCCTTTATACAGCACACACACCTGTCAAAATGTCAAAGAGTGAGCTTGAGTGAGCTGATTATTCCTTTATACAGCACACACACACCTGTCAAAATGTTAAAGAGTGAGCTGCAGTGAGCTGATTATTCCTTTATACAGCACACACACCGGTCAAAATGTCAAAGAGTGAGCTGGAGTGAGCTGATCATTCCTTTATACAGCACACACACCTGTCAAAATGTCAAAGAGTGAGCTGGAGTGAGCTGATCATTCCTTTATACAGCACACACACCTGTCAAAATGTCAAAGAGTGAGCTGGAGTGAGCTGATCATTCCTTTATACAGCACACACACCTGTCAAAATGTCAAAGAGTGAGCTGGAGTGAGCTGATCATTCCTTTATACAGCACACACACCTGTCAAAATGTCAAAGAGTGAGCTGGAGTGAGCTGATTATTCCTTTATACAGCACACACACCTGTCAAAATGTCAAAGAGTGAGCTGGAGTGAGCTGATCATTCCTTTATACAGCACACACACCTGTCAAAATGTCAAAAACTACCAAGACCCAGAAGATGTCAAAATTGGAAAACTCATACCTAATCCCCTACCATTTTTTTTAACAAAATGTGTTTAAAACTAAACCTAGAACAAAGACGATAAGAATGGACAATTGTTATGGGATGATTTCAAAATTGAAAAGGTAAACCCAGAAATAGGACAGCCTGTGGCAGGGACAGCGGTAATTTATGTAACACTGGGTCTATACAGATAAATGTAGGCCTGCTTGAAGGTGGACATTTGTCCCCAAGTCTGCAGCAAATATCAGTAGAAATTCTCAGACTGGAATTTTTGAAAATCGCAGACCAAGATTTAGTAAGGATATTAATGGAATATGTTTGTATATGTGTCTTGTATTTCACTAATAACAAACGCAATAAGGAGGTGACATTCACATGACTAAAGATACAGATCAATCCATGGGTCGCGATCCACAAAGTGTTCGCAACGTTACAACATGTCGTAACTCTATAGTTTATTGTAAGCTTACGCATGTCGTAGTGCTACGAGGCTTTGTCGATCGGGACTCTGGTCACCTGAAAGAACTTATGGAAAAGTATCTTACCTTTCATCTCCTCTAAGGTGAGAGTATTTACTGGTGATGGAGGTGCCCCCATTTGTGAGATCAGTGTCTGAAGTCTTTGGTATGTGAGTGGAGGTGACCCACCATTCTTCTGTATTGTTCTGCCAAAGAACACCAAATGTGTTTGATTGGTATTCACATCTTCAATACTTCCTCTTTTCATAAACTGTATCATTAGCAATTATGTATGCAGGGGCAGATCCAGGAGTTTGGAGAAGACGGTGGACATAAATCATGAAGTCCAAACGTTAGGGGAAAATGCTCCTCAGGGAAATATTTTAGGGGGAAAAGAGGGGTGCACAGCCCCGCACTACCCACTCTTGATCCGCCCCTGGTATGTCAAACTAAAAGGATGCCTGATGATAAGTAATCTGTCCTAAATTAAAAGGATGCCTGATGATGAATAATCTGTCCTAAACTAAAAGGATGCCTGATGATAAGTAATCTGTCCTAAACTAAAAGGATGCCTGATGATAAGTAATCTGTCCTAAACTAAAAGGATGCCTGATGATAAGTAATCTGTCCTAAACTAAAAGGATGCCTGATGATAAGTAATCTGTCCTAAACTAAAAGGATGCCTGATGATAAGTAATCTGTCCTAAACTAAAAGGATGCCTGATGATAAGTAATCTGTCCTAAACTAAAAGGATGCCTGATGATAAGTAATCTGTCCTAAATTAAAAGGATGCCTGATGATAAGTAATCTGTCCTAAACTAAAAGGTTGCCTGATGATGAGTAATCTGTCCTAAACTAAAAGGATGCCTGATGATAAGTAATCTGTCCTAAACTAAAAGGATGCCTGATGATGTGTAATCTGTCCTAAATTAAAAGGATGCCTGATGATAAGTAATCTGTCCTAAATTAAAAGGATGCCTGATGATAAGTAATCTGTCCTAAACTAAAAGGATGCCTGATGATAAGTAAACTGTCCTAAACTAAAAGGATGCCTGATGATAAGTAATCTGTCCTAAACTAAAAGGATGCCTGATGATAAGTAATCTGTCCTAAATTAAAAGGTTGCCTGATGATAAGTAATCTGTCCTAAACTAAAAGGATGCCTGATGATAAGTAATCTGTCCTAAATTAAAAGGATGCCTGATGATAAGTAATCTGTCCTAAACTAAAAGGATGCCTGATGATAAGTAATCTGTCCTAAATTAAAAGGATGCCTGATAAGTAATCTGTCCTAAATTAAAGGATGCCTGATGATAAGTAATCTGTCCTAAACTAAAAGGATGCCTGGTGATAAGTAATCTGTCTTAAATTAAAAGGATGCCTGATGATAAGTAATCTGTCCTAAACTAAAAGGATGCCTGGTGATAAGTAATCTGTCTTAAATTAAAAGGATGCCTGATGATAAGTAATCTGTCCTAAACTAAAAGGATGCCTGATGATAAGTAATCTGTCCTAAATTAAAAGGATGCCTGATGATGAATAATCTGTCCTAAACTAAAAGGATGCCTGATGATAAGTAATCTGTCTTAAATTAAAAGGATGCCTGATGATAAGTAATCTGTCCTAAATTAAAAGGATGCCTGATGATAAGTAATCTGTCCTAAACTAAAAGGATGCCTGATGATAAGTAATCTGTCCTAAATTAAAAGGATGCCTGATGATAAGTAATCTGTCCTAAATTAAAAGTATGCCTGATGATAAGTAATCTGTCCTAAATTAAAAGGTTGCCTGATGATAAGTAATCTGTCCTAAACTAAAAGGATGCCTGATGATAAGTAATCTGTCCTAAATTAAAAGGATGCCTGATGATAAGTAATCCGTCCTAAATTAAAAGAGGGAGCAGAACATCTATATTGCTGATGGAATAATTCTTTTTAATAAATCTCTTGAACATAACCTGAAATTTACAGAGCTCATAAAGAGTACCTGCTTTCACATAAGATCTGTAAGAAAGCTATGGTTGTTCTGCCTTGATTCCATCCACTGAACTACCAGTTCCTTATTCCATAAGTTAATGTTGTTATATGCTACAGCAATAAACAAGCCAAAGATGTAAGCATGTAAATATCTGAGTGAGTTTAGTTTTACGCCGCTTTTAACAATATTCCAGCAATATCACGGCAGGGGACACCAGAAAGGGGCTTCACTCATTGTACCCATGTGGGGAATCGAGCCCGTTTCTTCACCATGACCAGCCCACCACCCCCGTAAATATGCGAGTCCAGGCAAACAAATGGTAGAGTACAAGAACACCACTTCTGATTGTCAGAGCGTAACGGCGCACACACTGTTCTCGTCACACACACTGCAGCCACCTTATTGTCAGGTGTCAGTTCTAACAACAAGCATGAAGACTACTTGGGACAGAAACAGATTGCAACCACACGATCCTTGCTTTATATCAGAGATTCACTCATATCTTACTTCTTGACATCAAACAGAGTGTGTGACACCTCCGTGACAACCTCCACTCCATGCTCGTTTGCCAGTTGTTGCACCTCTTCATCACGGGCCACGGCATACGGTTCAGTGTCCACCTCAAACGTCAGTCGAGTTATCTCCCATTGTTTAAACAGACCTGGGAAAACCTCGGCTGGCTTGCCTTGGATGACAAACAACCTGAAGGAAATAACAGATAGTCAAATTTTAGTTCTTATGGTCAGCAATACTCTCTCATGGCAAAAACCCATGAAGATCACTGTTAGAATTGATCTTCAGTAACCCATGCTTGTCGTAAAAGGCGATTAACGGGATTGGGTGGTCAGACTCGCTGACTTGGTTGACACATGTGATTGTATCCCAATTGGGTAGATCGATGCTCCTGCTGTTGATCACTGGATTGTCTAGTCCAGACTTGATTATTTACAGACCGCCGCCATATAGCTGGAATATTGCTGAGTGTGGCGTAAAACTAAACTCATTCACTCACTCTCACGGCAAAACTTCTATAATTCTTCTTTCAACAGACTGGCGGAACTAACATCAAGTCTCTGAAATAAACCTTGCTATGAGAGTGAGTTTTTTTGTAATTTGTATTATCATTGATTAGGTGATAGTTATTATGGGTCACAATGTTTAAAGTTTTGAGTGTGTGTTGTGGCGCACATCTTGAATATCATATATGTTCAATGGCAATAGTATTTTTAGCGGCACGCCTTTTTGATAGCACTATAGAGTTGCCTCCCTTGGCAATCTTGTTTATTTACGGATTTCATCATGCCGTGTGGTCCACATGATTCGATAACATTCTTGATGCTGCCTAGCTTTGCTAGAATGCTTGAGAACTTTGTAAGAGCTATATAAAGGCTGGTTGTTGAGTTGTGTGTTGGACTTATTACTTGACTGGAGTTATCTATACACATCTGTCTGCCGTCATCAAGCTGATACATCTGCCTACCGTCGTCAAGTCTGTCAACATTTCAAGACTGTGCTTGTCTATTCAACTACTGTCATTGTAAACAACCTTCCATCTGTATATTTGTTCATACCGTGAATGTCAAGAATCTGGTGGGTTGATATTTTATATTTGTGACCCAATATTTTAGATTTGTGACTCAATTGCATTGTACTAGATATCTGTATTGTCATTCATTGGAGCTTGCTCATTGTTTGCTCAATATATTATTGAATATTTTAGACTAATCTGTGTTCTATTTTGCTGGTTCAAAGGAGACTTTTAAACCTTTTGGCACGGCAAATTATTAACCGTAACAACATGTTACATAAATAGAGATCACTAAGGGAGTGTCTGTAAGATACCATTTATCTTACAATGGGTTGTTAGATAAATGGTATCTGACAGACACGAGTAAAGTAATGTGTTTCTTACACACCATAAAATCGCACCAATTGATGGTCGAATAGATTCAAATTTCACATTTTCTCATTGTAGCTGCGCAATAATACACAACACAATGTTTATGAATGAGTGACGTCACAGGCCTTCCTAATCACTCCTCATCCCCATAGTGACACTCCACAAAAATGTTTCTGCCACCTCTTCGCGTCATCAAGGCAATGGTGATAATGCAAACTAGATAATATCACAGAAAATTAATTAAACCCTCTAAAACGATGATGTTACCATGTAAATGTGGATGATTTTAATTCTTGCAAGCATAAAATATTTGAGCATGTGACGTCATCGTTATCGTTGGTGGTTGTCATCATCGGAAGATTGTTTTGGATATGACTGCGAATTGGGGATCTGTACTTGTGTACCAGTTTACGTTCATGTTCTCCCATCGACCGGAGCCAAAACTATTGAGTGTGTGTAATTAGTAGGTGTAACCCGTGTGTTTGAATGTGACATTGCTGAAGTTACGATAACTATCAATGGGGGACTGCTCTTCTTCGCCACAGCCTTCTCGTTTTCCCGAGCCAGAATCTGCCACTTGGAGTGTAATATGGAGTTGAAAGTATGAAATGTGAGTTGACTACGTCCTGTAAGTTATCAAGACATAAACTTGCATTATAATGCGTCGGAGGAATATCTTAAGCAATGACTTTTGTGTAGATCAACCGTTCCTGTACATGTTCCGATTGAATAGAAAGGAGGTGTGCCGCCATTTGCACTTACAAAGCCTTGCAAACCGTTCCATGTTGTACATTGTTTCAACGAGTGTGTTTTGGTTCTCATTGTCATGAGTGAATTTGATAACATTGGAATCACACAGTAGCTCGGAGCTGGAAGTGGGTCTTCATCATATGTATCAGTGAAAAATGTCATCTTCATCAATGCATCAAAGAAACAACGAGGCAAATCGATCTCACAATAGGCAGGCACTGACGTTATCGTGTCAGGTATGTTTGCAAGGCGATACATGACACTTGTCGCATCTCTCCAGTAAAAGTACCAGTGTTGTACATTTTGAATATTCGAAGGGAATCACGGTCTTTATTTCTAACGGCGATTTTCACATAATTGTTTACACTGGTATCACTGATTGTTCGAGACATTTTGAACTCATGACTGGAAATCAAACGTTTTAATAAAAGGAATTAGAAAATAAATAAATTTGTGTTATATTTATTTTAATTGTGTTTCATTGTATAAATACCTGTTTATGTTGCAATCGCGAAAATAACAGGTAGGTGTAAAGTTGGGTTTTTTGCACGAGTAACAGGTTTCTGTTCGATTGAAGCACAAGTAACTTATCAATGAATTTTAATCTGGAAATTAGTCCGTCATAACCTGACCGTAGGTCATTACCATGGAGTAGCCAATCACAGGATTAGAAATCGATCTCACACATATGTGTGATACCAGTTTTCTCACATGGGTTTCTCACCCATGGGTGTGTAAGAATATACAGTTTCTAAGTTATAATTATGAAATATAATTCAAAGGAGCCCAGAGACTGTGGTAATCATATTCTAGACTTGCATGGGCTTTCTTGGATATATTTGTTTCAAGGTCTGTATGACCCTGACTAAAGAGTGGCCAACAAGACAAGACACAACATATACATAAAATAATTCAACATCATTTACAAAATAATAAATTAATAACTACAACAAATACCAAGACTAAAATCAATACACATACAATGTATGGACTGGCCATTGTGAACACCACGTAAATAAAATGGTTTAACTGTAAATAACGACAAATAGCATCGTTGCTTCTTGTTTAAAGAATCAATACCTTGAGTTGACTTTCTTCAGATTCTCATCAAGATCTTTTAAAGACTGAAGTAGAAACCGCCATCTGTTGATTCCAACCCGAGCATGTTTGGCAAACCATGGGTCAAGAATGAATATTGGCCATAACGCCTCTCCGTCTTTGACAGCTGCCAGGAGAGCTGGGTTGTCATGGATACGCAGACCTTTCCTGAACCAATGGATTGTTTTATGTGACATTTTCACCAATCCTGAAATTAAAATAAAAACATTAATCATATTCTGAGACAATATTGGTAGATGTCTGTAAGGTTTCTCATGAAATATTTCCTCTTATAATTTGGAAAATGCACAAAGGTCCTATTTTGCAAAACTTTACAATATTTGTTTAGTAAATTGAAGGTATAAAGAAAGGGAACAGGTCAAAAGGGCCGCATGACAAAAGGGCCCCAAAACGGAAAAGTCAAAAGGGCCACAAGAAAGTCAAAAGTGCCGCAAACCCCTAGTCAAAAGAGCCCTATATCAAAAAAATCAAAATAATAATAATATCTTTTTTAAAAAGTGTATTATAGTAAAAGGTTATACATCTATACTATGTATACTTTATACATACTGGTTCTGTTTAAAAAGATGTTTTTTCAACATCTGAAAAAAAATCATGTATGTGATGGTTATTTTTTTCATCTAAGTAACAAAACACTTATCAGTTATGATTGTGACAAATACTTTGGCAGAGAAATAAACAATCTATCTGTCTATATCAGTAAATGCCAATATTAGGTGGCATGCTTTTCTTCCTGACTTTATTGATTATGTGAAATCTTATTATATAATAGGACTAACAGAGACATGGCTTCACCAATTTGACTTATCAACACATTTTACAGATTTAAAGATATTATTAAAATTATACCAGGCAATCAGAAAGGTCGGTATGCAAGTGGTATTACGGCTTTAGTTAGAAATTCTATTGATAGATGTGTAACACCCTTAAATACGCACATATAGGTATGTTCCTTCAACATAATCAAGAAATATTTGGTCATGAAAATGATATCTTATATTTTTGTGTATATATGTCCTCACAATATCAAAAATATTATGATAATGTAATTGAACATAATGGGACAATTCAGCATGAGCATCTATTTGTTGAACACCTTGAATGTTTTACTTCAGATCCAGTTACATTGATTGGTGGTGATTTTAATGCAAGATCGGGGTGATTTACAGGAGAGTATTCCTGATTTTGATGACAGTAGAAGCAGTGATTTTGAATTTGTTAAAAACAGTTGTTACTCAACAACATACAATATTTTTGTATTAAATGCTCTTATTCAAAAACATTTATTTAAACGGAAAAGTAGATTCTATGTAGCATTTATAGATTTCTGTAAAGCCTTCGACTCTATTGATAGAAAACCTTATATCACTAAATAAGATAGAGTTATCAGGAAACATTTTGACTGCTTTATGGGCTACCTGTAAAAAGAGTGAAAAATATAATGTGGTACTATTTTTAATTGCATTTCTCTGCCAAAGTATATGTGATAAATTCTCATGATCATAAATGATAAGTGTTTTGTTGCTTAGATGAAATAAATATACTTCACACACATCTATTCGTGGTCATCATTTTCTTTCCAATGTTGAAAAAATATCTTTTTAAAAACAGAAATAGTATGCATAAAGTATACATTGTATACTTTTAAAAAAAGATGTTATTTTTTTATGTGGAGCCACTTTGACTTGGGGTCTGAGGCCCTTTTGACTAGGGTTTTGCGGCCTTTTGACTTTCTTGTGGCCCTTTTGACTTTTCCGTGTTGGGGCCATTTTGTTATGCGGCCCTTTTGACTAGGACCCTAAAGAAAACTCTACTGTACAAACATGCATAATATTGTCGCTGGGTCTGAAGTTTTCAAGCTATCAATCTTTTCATATGTCACTGATCTGCAAGCCGAGCAACAAAACAACGTTCAACAATATTCCATATATAATTATGTCTGCTGTCTGTAAATAGCCTAGTCTGGACCAGACAATGCAGTGATTGGCATCGTCAATATCCTTATTCCATCCACGCATCAAGCCGGCTACTGAGCCTGACGGTGGCTGACCGCCCGATCCATTGGCATCGTCTCGCTTCCAGCAAGCCACTCATCGAAACAGTGGAGCACATTCGACAAAATGAAAATGGTGAATTAGTGTAAGTTATTCATATAGAGGAATGCTGGGGTTTTGTCATCATTTATGCAAGGGAGAAATACGAACCTCTTTACCAGTCTTGCAGCTCGAAGTTGAACACCGCGCGTGCCTCTTGTTATGTAAACAGCAGTGACACAGAGTTATCTCCCCTACACCAACAGCTGCTTCTGTCGTCGCCACAAGATCCTCAAGAGTTACATCAGTGTTGGGGTGTCTCGTCGGGCTAGCGGCGGAAGCCAGATAATTCTGTCAATATCTTACTAAATGTTACGTTGTTGATTGTTTTCATTTTAAATACCAAGGTTCATTAACCAAAGCGATTTGTAACAGTAAATGTATTTGTCATTGAACACTGGCCTGTCACTTAACCTAACTTGAAAATTGTAATTGGTAAATTGTAACCATATTCAAATGTGTAAAAGATATAAGTACAATCTCTGTTACTGGGATTTGACATTCATTTCAGCCGTGGACGATGTATGTAGTGCTGATCTCAACATCTAACACAGCTGTCTGCTGGAGCACCTGTCACTGTGGTGCTTGTATGGCTGGAAAACCCAAATGACACAATCTGTACTGTGTATCCTCATCTTTTCTTTGTTACAGGTCAGATTTCCTTTATATCATTACCAGAAGATAGTGTATGTCCTCATCCATTTGCATGTTTCATGTTTTCAGGGGCAGTGGGGTAGCCTAGTGGTTAAAGCATTTGCCCGTCACTGAAGACCCGGGTTCTATTCCCCAGATGGGTACAACGTGTGAAGCCTATTTCTGGTGTCCCCTGCCGTGATATTGCTGGAATATTGCTAAAAGCGGTGTAAACCTAAAGTCACTCACCCTGTTTTACACTGCATGGATATTCCAGATATACGAATGTTGTCTATAGATAACTGAGGTTATCATGAGCATTCATCTACGCAATTGGGATATGACACTGATCTGTACAATGTCGCTTTATGGCAGGTATCAAAAACTGACATAAGATGATGCAGTAATTGATATAAGTAAATACTTTAAATATTACAGACCCAAACTGTTTCAAAAAGGATTTCATTTTCACACTTCCAAAATTCTTCATTCAACTCCATGTAGTTTTCTGTGTTTGACAGAACAAAATTGAAACAACTATGTCAAAACTGTGAATGCAAATCTGTCCATCTACGTTTCTTCCCCTTTAAGAATAGTATCAATGAATTTCCCATAATTCAGGTATTTCAGACATGAGGTGACTGAGGAATTGTGGTGGGTGAGCTGTCTAGGCGGCAGGCTTATTGACCCAGTGAGGTTGAGGTGCCGGGATCGAGCCCTCCTGTGACCGGGTGCAAAAACCTTGGAGTCAACTTTCTGTGCAGACCCTTTCAGTGTTGTCACAACCCCTACTGTTCAGTACAAAACCCTGTGCACTTAAAAGAACCCATGAATCCGTTGGTATATGACCAGATGGTGGCCACATGAATACATGCAAACACCTAGTTGCGGGTACAGCAACGTGCAGTGAACTTGGACAAGTACTGTGACTATGTGTCCCAGTCCATCCAGCTGTGAATGGGTACCTCGTAAGGTCGGAAAGCCACATTAACTCGGTGTGCCTAGTGGCTACAAGAGATGTATGATCCCCAGGGAGTTGAGATTGATAATACGATGTGCCATTTGAGTTTGACATCCAATGATTGAGGGAAAAAATCAAAGAACCTTTTAGCAGCTGAGCTGGATATTGGCGCCATACAATAATGTTAGTATAATATCGTATACACCGATTTGTGATGGCGTCTGTGTGAAGAAGAACACAAGGAGTCCAAGAAACATGATAAATAATCATTTATTTCTCTTTCACGCCAGCATTGGCTATGGAATATTCACACTAGAACTACGCAAAAATTCTTCAACGGCTTTCTGCAAGACATCGGAATCCAATGACATTTGTTTTCTTTTGTTCATGACATAACATTGTACAACAAAAACATTCATTACATCAAACTGGCCAAAAACTGACTTACTCAAAAGCAATGCCCTTTAATTGGCCAAGGCAGATCTCTTTATGTAAAGTGGTTCTGCCAATCTGGGTTAGACTAAGTTGATGGGAAGGATTTATCTGTTAAAAAACTTATGTTCATAGTCATTTGGCCAGGTTGGGGCAAACTCACAGTCATTGTTAGATGTTCACACAACTATGTGTTTTCTCATTCAACATTTTCAATGTATCTACATCTTAACTGTGAAGGATTGTCCAGAAAGTGTCTCCGTATTACAAGTCACTAACTATGACCTACACAAGCTGGGCACAATACCAGGGAGTCCTCCTTAATATCTACTGAGTATTGTCCCCCATTCCACAAAGCAATGCTAGGGCTACGACAACTATACTCCTATGTTAAAGTATGGAAGTAACAATGGCTAAGATCGCTTTTGAAATGAGGTCTTTGGGTTATGATGAAGTATTAACAGACAGGTTCCTGTTTGACAAAACGATCTTAGGACTCTACTCTTGTAAGCCTGTGTTAACGTATGGGAGTTACGGTTATCTTAGTGCAAAGATCACTTTGTAGAAGGGGCCCAGTCTAGCTATTCTCGAAACGTTCGTAGCCCTACGAACTTCGTACGCCCATTGTTAACACATTGGCTACGATCAAAGTTAAGAATTCTTAGGGCTACGAACGTTTTGAGAATAGCTAGCCAGGTCCCTATTTCACAAAGCGATCGTAGAGCTAAGGTGATCGTAACTCCCATACTTTAACATAGACTTACAACAGTTGTAGCCCTACGATCGCTTTGAGAAACGGGCCCATGCACGGTAACATTCTAGAAACAAAGATTCTGCTGGACTCACCAGTCCAGTGTAATGTAATACAGCTGAATCACCAGCACTCAACACATGGATATATCTACCGGTATATAGTTAAGTGATGAGGTAACGACTAGAGTGGATCAGGAACCAGCCATGTGATATTCAGACAAATGAAGCTGGGATTGTTTGGTTTTATTTTCTATAAATTTCCATTAAAAAAATTGCAAAAATATCATTTGTCCCCAGGTTACTTGGGTTTTCTTGGTTGTTTTTCAGACATGCTGGATGACCTGGGAAAATAGTATTGTGAAAAATCCAACACCCAGCTTCAGAACTGGTTGGTTCCTTAGCTACCACAGAAATACTTGTTCTTGACAATATCGCATCGCACTGTGGAACCCTCTCAATCTGGACACTGGTGTATCTGGGTTAATAACTTCCAGGATATCACAGTACATAACATAATGTCCCTTTAATTACATTAAGTATTACTGACATCAATCATCTTGATGGTGTTTCAAGAAAACCCATTATCAATCTACAGTAATTATATGTTTGTCAAATGCAATTTCATATTACTATCTAAAGGCATTATTCGACAAATTGTAGTATAAAACATGTTTCATACCTGAACATAGTGTTCTTCATAGTATATGTCTCTCCTAATTTTCACTCTGGAAATAAATTGTTAATTTTTAGCGTAAAATTTGGACAGAAGAAACATTATGTCAACGCTAAAACTTTTGTCAACAAAAGTATTTGATAAGTAGCATTTGTTTGGAGACAAGACTTTGTTCATGAAGTGAGTGAGTATGGTTTTACGCCGCTTTTTGCAATATTCCAGCAATACAACGGCGGGGGACACCACCAATGGGCTTCACACATTGTGCCCATGTGGGGAATCGAACCCGGGTTTTCGGCGTGACGAGCGAACGCTTTAACCACTAGGCTACCCCACTGCCCCTTGTTCATGAAGGATGTGCATAGTTTAATGCTTGAATCAATGAATGACAGAATTCTTCAACCAGTAGATTTATATGTTTTGACGTAGGTGCTCACATCTGTTATGTCGAACAAGACATTGCTTTACCTCTACTAATTCTAATTCAACAATTCAAAAAAATATATTCAGAAAACAGTTTTCATTAAATGGCACAATTTTAAAGAATATAAATAAATAAAACAAGAAGTTTCAATTTTTTTCACCAAGTCACATTGTTTTGTAAAAATGGACATAATTTCGAAACAGCATTATTGGTGAGACTATATCAGTATGAGTGAATATTCATAGAATTGGAATGATAAAGTAACTTGAAACAAACATTTGATTAAATTGCTTAACATATTAATGTGAACCTTATACAAGCAAAGCCAAATACTGAACGATGCACATCTAACCTATCACCTCGCAACTAACACATGATATAAACAGCTCACCAGTTATTTCTGTCTGTGGGTAAAATCATCAAATGGAAGTGAAACCAAGCTGAACTACATGTTCCCAATATTAGCACCAGACTCTCATCACAAATGTGTTTGGAATTAAACATAAAAGTTATTTAAAATAACTCTCAGCTTTACATTGTTAATAATTTTCCCCCAAAGATGAGTGTTCGTTCTTTATGACGGGTGACTAGTATTCCAGACATTCTAGTTAAACCATGAATACAACACAGGGACTTTCCTCATGTTTGTTTTTCCAGTCTCATCCATTCAGTTTGAATTAACCAATCAAATCACAGTGAAATCCTGCCTTACTGTTTCATTGGACAGCATTTGCACAGAAACATTTGGCATTTCAGTCTTAATACAATGATTGGCCATATATCTGCAGTTTCTGCAATTGCAGTGTCTAAAACTGGCAAGCTTATGGGAGTGAAGTGAGTGAGTTTATTTTTACACCACTTAAGTAATCTTCCAATCCAGAAATGGGCTTCACACATTGTACCCATGTGGGGACTCAAACGTGGGTCTTTGGCATAACACAATCTTATGTGAGTGGAGTGAGTGAGGATTTAACACAGACTTCAGTCATATCTTGTTGTAAAAAGCCCTAATGTGGTACCCACTTGGAACATGAACATGACTGTTCTATGCATCAAACAATTGCACTTGGAACATGGCTCTTCCAATCCCCTTCAGCAATGATAAGACCCTGTGATGATATGGTAAGGTGGAAAAAGGTATAAAGCAGTTGCGTTTCAAAGCATGCAGTGATAAACATTTAAAATATAACACAGAAACACTTTCGCAAAAATAATCACAATATACAGATATTACCCCGAAATAAAACAAAAATATGTACAAATTAAATATGACAACAAACCGATAAAACTAACTTAAAGAACATGAGCTTCCTTACACACTTCATAAGAATGTTTTTCATATTGACACTTTGGTTTAGATTTTTAGTTCACATTCATACCACTTTCAATGTCCCACATTAAAAATGGGAGACATACAGCTACAGGTATCAGTAATTAATATTCAAAGGCACACATCAACAATCCTTGTCTGACACTGCAGTTCAACTAGACTAAGTAGGGAATTATTAATGCTGAAGCATTTAATACACAGGACACTTTCTACAAAACGATCTTAGCGCCAAGGTGATGGGATCTCCAGTGCTTTAACATAACTATATGATCATCCTAGCGCTAAGATCGTTTTGTGGAACAGGATCCAGGTCTCTGATTTTATCCTACTCGGATATATGATTTGATACACTATTTACATTCATTCTGAAAAACAATTTCACTCTAATAACTTAACCTATCCAGAACCTTTGATTTTGGAACAAGGTACTCAAACTTATCCCGCAAAATATACGGATAACAACTTCTTTTATTTTGTTATCTATAAATTTGTCGGTATTGTACTTCCCAACTTACCAATTTCAAAAAGGCTGTCAATGAAATTTAACACTGATGGCCACTATGTGTCTTACAAAGCGGCATCCATCTAGAAACGATATGTGTCAGCTTCAACTCGGACAAATTGAACTGAAGACATCAGTCAGAAATAGTAACAATACTAACATCAGATGTTTTGTAATTATGAGTATAATTATGATAATCAGGTTAAACATTTTGCAGTGTCTAAAACTTTCATAATTCTCTAACAAAACAAAAATAAATGTGTGCTTTGAAATACAGACAGTAACAATCACAAGAGTATACTTTACATTAAACTGTCTTGTGAATATCAGTTGGTATGTGTTTACATCAATACAGAAATTCCGGATCCGTGACAGCCGTAGTAAATATCTAGCTGCTACCACAGTTGATGACAGCCTGGCAGTTCACACAATATGCACTCAAGAAATAACAGCAACATCCAAATTGACGTCAACGTACAGTTCTCACAGACAATGGATTGGGCAACAGTAACCAAATACAACTGTCACACTGTTCCATCTGAAGGTGACATATATTTAATGATAAAGTCCATTTGTAATGTGCTCAACTCCACACCAGAGGTTTTGCTCATAGCGCTACAGATTTGACTAGTTCACTAGTCATAGTATTTCTTGAAGAGCAGGGTCTTTAGGTCTGACTTGAAAACATCAAGACTTGGCGCTCTTTTCAATTCACCCATACTGTTACTGTATTAACAAAGTGTCTATATTTAAGGAAGATGCGGAAGGAAGGTAGTTTTGTCTTCATGAGGATGGTTTTCTGTCTCTTATATAATTTGCCAGCAGTATCACAGCTGGGGAACCAAGAATGGCCTCACATGTCCTGATGGGGGATTCAAACCCAGACCTTCTGCATGACTAGTCAACACTTAACCACTTGGCTACCTGACTTGCTAATTATTGGTCAAATTTGAAAGATAGGAATATGAAGGGGGATAACTCTGACAAGAAGTGATTGAGTAGGATTTTACACAGCTTTTGGCAATGGTGTAATCACATGAAACTCAGAAATTTGGTAGATACATGTTTCAACACTGAACTAAATGTGGTCATTGAATGAGTCATTCATATCACACATTCAGTCTTAGACTTTCCTTTTCTGATAATAAATCAGTACTATCACTGTAGATTCATGTCTGTGAGATTCAGAACTTTCATGAAAACCACACTCATTTTCAAAATCCACTTCAATGACAGTGACAGTGTGGATTTCCAGGTGTGAATGTAAGAGGATTTTTAAAAAACTTATATATGACATGTACAGTAGTGCCAGAAAAAAATCAAAATAAACATCATACAAAAGCACTTTGATTTCTTTTCATCAAAAGAAAAATTATCTGAAAACTAAATATACATAAGTATGGCTCCTCCACCTTGAGTAAAATAAATAACATAAACAAGATCACATCACTGTTATCAGTTCATAACATTGTCCTTGTCATCTTTGAGTTTGATGCCTTCCAAATTCCACAGGAATGACCTTCACCTTTAAGATTAGGCTTGACCTTGAACTGGTTGAGCCTGCAAAAATAAAGAATTTGCTGTTATGACTGGTGGTGAACAACTGAAAAATATGAGTAAGCAGAGTTTCTGTTTTTCTGGGGAATACTCAATAGAGAATATGAGATTAATGTTTGAACCAGAATGTTTCCAGATCATACCTGCTGTTGCTGTTGTTGTCCTTGAACAGGTTGCTGTTGATTCTGTATGGGTTGCTGGGCTTGTTGATTCTGAACGGGTTGCTGGGCTTGTTGATTCTGAACGGGTTGCTGGGCTTGTTGATTCTGATTAGGTTGCTGTCCTTGAACAGGTTGCTGGTTCTGAACAGGAACTTGCTGTTGTTGGACAGGAACCTGACCTTGAACTTGCTGCTGCTGATTCTGAACTGGAACCTGACCTTGAACTTGCTGTTGTTGACCCTGCACTGGTACTTGAGCTTGCTGTTGTTGAGCCTGTTGTTGGTTCAACTGCTGGCCCATTTGAGGATGTTGAAGCATTTGCTGTTGCTGAATATGTTGCTGTTGCTGCTGATGTTGTTGCTGTTGCTGCTGTTGAATGTGCTGTTGCATCTGAGCATGCTGTTCTGCAAGTTGCTGTTGAACAACCTGTTGCTGGGCAAACTGTTGCTGTTGATGTTGCAGGATTTGTTGTTGCTGTGCATATTGTTGCTGCTGCTGCTGGAAGTCATGACCTTGAGGCTGACCTTGATACTGAAGGTTCTGACCTTGCTGTGGCACTTGGCCTAGAGGAACTTGACCCTGGTTCATGTGCATCACACTTGGGTCAACATGTTCAGGTGGTTGCTGAAAGTTGCAATACATAAATCAACATACGCAAACATTTTCATACAGAAATCAACTAATTTAGTCAAAACAAGACATCAACTAGCACTGGGAACAAATACAAAGGTGCATGTCATATTAGGTGCATACAAATGTTGTAGAAATCATTGTTTAATAAAAAGTCTTTGTAGCTGTCATGGTTCTTTGAATTTCTATAATACATGAAATTCACTAGATAACCGAAGTACTGAAGAACAAAGGTGTTAATAATTAATGAACCTACGTTAATTAATCCAGGCTGAGCATGATGTTCCTCCACAAACTTCTGATATTCCTCATCGGTGAATAGTTGGTCCTCATCAACGGTCTGTAACAGCAACAAACAGATGGAAATCTTTCAACGGATAGCACTGCTGGGAGTACTGCTTCCAGTGCTTACATCTCCCTTCTTGAAATAATGCAATGGACTTTCATTAAACTTCCCATACATATCCCCAAATACTACTCTTAGGGGAATGTTTCATTCATTTGTGTTGGGTGATAATAATTCACATTCATCACCATCCATGGTTAATAATTTAATCCTTCTACCATCCACCACAACACACCCTTTATTAAATACCTTCTACCATCCACCACAACACACCCTTTATAATCTACCCTCTACCATCCACAACCCATCCGTCAACTACATTCTACCATCCACCACAACACATCCTTCATCAACTAACTTCTAACATCCACAACCCATCCGTCAACTACCTTCTACCACAAACAATCCATCAACTACCTTCTACCACCCACAACAATCCATCAACTACATTCTACCATCCACAACAACCTATCCATCAACTACCTTCTACCATCCACCACAACACACCCTTCATCAACTAACTTCTAACATCCACAACCCATCCGTCAACTACCTTCTACCACAAACAATCCATCAACTACCTTCTACCACCCACAACAATCCATCAACTACATTCTACCACACACAACAAACAATCCATCAACTACCTTATACCACCCACAACAATCCATCAACTACCTTCTACCATCCATCACAAACAATCCATCAACTACCTTCTACCATCCATCACAAACAATCCATCAACTACATTCTACCACCCACAACAATCCATCAACTACATTCTACATCCACCACAACAATCCATCAACTACATTCTACCATCCATCACAAACAATCCATCAACTACATTCTACCACCCTACCACCCACAACAATCCATCAACTACCTTCTACCATCCACAACAAACAATCCATCAACTACATTCCACAACAATCCATCAACTACATTCTACCACCCACAACAATCCATCAACTACCTTCTACCATCCATCACAAACAATCCATCAACTACATTCTACCACCCACAACAATCCATCAACTACATTCTACCATCCATCACAAACAATCCATCAACTACCTTCTACCATCCACAACAAACAATCCATCATCAACTACATTCTACCATCCATCACAAACAATCCATCAACTACCTTCTACCATCCACCACAAACAATCCATCAACTACCTTCTCCATCAACTACCTTCTACCATCCATCACAAACAATCCATCAACTACCTTCTACCATCCATCAATCCATCAACTACATTCTACCATCCACCATCCTATCCATCAACTACTACCATCTACATCCACTACCTTCTACCACCCACAACAATCCATCAACTACCTTCTACCATCCATCACAAACAATCCATCAACTACATTCTACCATATCCATCAACTACCTTCTACCATCCATCCACAACTACATCCCAACAAACAATCCATACCACATTCTACCATACATCACAAACAATCCATCAACTACATTCTACCATCCATCACCAACAATCCATCAACTACATTCTACCATCCACAACAAACAATCCATCAACTACATTCTTAACTCCACAACAAAGATCCATTACCAGCCTTCTACTATCATCACAACCAATCAATGAACTATCCTCTACCATCCATCAACTTCTATCCTTCCTTTAACAACCATTTACCAAACACCTTCTATCCACCAATTACCATACAATTACACATCTTTAATCCATCATCACCAACACTTTCACAATCATGTTCTATCAACCATATTCCATCCATCAAACATGTCCACCCTTCCTCACCTTCCATCCATCATCCTTCTTGAACTCTTCATTTTCTCCATGAGCTCCAGTGTATTGCAGGAACTCGGCCTGTGAGATACGGGCATCCTTGTCCTTGTCCATCTCTGTGAAGATATGCTCTCTCATTCTGTTCATCTCCTCAAACCTCTCCATCGGGTCCGTCCCGGGAGTGTTGCCATCATACACCTTATCCAGCTACAACACGGGAGACAACTACAAGTCAGTGCAAGTCATGGGAGCTTGTTAGCATGTTGGTGAATTGTGTTTGCATTCCATAAATTCAAGCTATTGTATTCACTTGTGTCTACATTCCATAAATTCAAGCTATTGTATTCACTTGTGTTTGCATTCCATATATTCAAGCTATTGTATTCACTTGTGTTTGCATTCCATATATTCAAGCTATTGTATTCACTTGTGTTTGCATTCCATATATTCAAGCTATTGTATTCACTTGTGTTTGCATTCCATATATTCAAGCTATTGTATTCACCATACTAAGCATGTTGCTAAAGTATACATAATTAGACAAGTTTCTAGACCAGTCTGTCAGTAACCTTCAGAAGTGAAAATTCACTCTAATTCAATTTCGTGAGGTATATCATTTTACAGAAAGCAGCAGCACAGAAATGGGTAGAAAAGTTCCAAGGCACTATTATCGGAAGAGTTTCAATATCATTGACATTTGAACAACATTTGTTCAATGTCGCTATTTTCCCAAAAACAAATACATGTATCAGTCAGAGTGCATGGAATTTATAAATTTGGCCTGACAAATGTAATGAGACATGCAGACTAACAGGTCATTGACACAGAAATGTAGGAACTAGGCTAAACCAATGAGTGTGCCAAAATGAATATGACTAAAATAAAAAAAAGAATCACTGAGTTATCTCCCTTTGACTACCTAATGAAAGCCACTTGAAAGTCCTGAAAGTCATATAAAACATCTTGCATTAACTCTCACCTCACTCTGCAACACTGCCTCCACTTCTTCAATACCCCAGAAACCATCGTCTTCAATATCTGCAAGTAACAGAGCTGGCCATCAGATTCAACCACAACAAAACATCACCATCATTATCAAATGAATAAAGCTTAGGAGAACTCTGTACTGATTCACATCCAGTTCAACACTGTGAATTCATTACTGGGTTTGGGAGGTGGGAAGCTCACACTGAAGACCCAGGTTCTATTTCCCAAATGGGTACAATATGAGAAGCCCATTTCTAATATTGCTTTTCGTCAATGTATTCATGTACCTGCAGAAAATTGTACTTGACCTACCATGTAGCTTGAAGAAAGTTTTAGGGTTAAATTCTTGGTCTTCCAGATGGTCCTTTTTCTCCCAGACTTCTTCAAACTGATCCTTGCTTCCCTGTAAACAGAAATAATGATCCTATACATATTGTTTCAGACAGGTCATACGGTTCATGCTTTACACAGGTCATATGCCTCACACTTTACACAGGTCATATGACTCATGCCTCACACAGGTCATATGCTTCACACTTTACACAGGTCATATGACTCATGCTTCACACAGGTCATATGCCTCACACTTTACACAGGTCATATGACTCATGCTTCACACAGGTCATATGCCTCACACTTTACACAGGTCATATGACTCATGCTTCACACAGGTCATATGCCTCACACTTTACACAGGTCATATGACTCATGCTTCACACAGGTCATATGCCTCACACTTTACACAGGTCATATGACTCATGCTTCACACAGATCATACAGCTCATGATTCACACAGGTGGTATGGCTAACTTAAAATTATACTGTCACATGAAACTTTTTCATGGGAATACTTGACTTCTAGAGGTGAAACGGTATATCGGGGTATCAGTAGAACCGCGGTAATTAGCCTTTGGTTCGGTAGACCGTAATTCAACCCAAAAATTTGTTATTTTCAGTGTTCGTACCGCCATTTCTATCTAGTCATAAAATGACAGGTTTGGTCATTCAAAATAACAAAGATTATGGTTATTTTTTTCCTGTTATTAAACATTGTAAGGTTTGGTTCTTGTCATTTTGCTGCATTATGATCATATCTCATATACCGAACCGAAACGGACCGAACCGAAGGCCGAAATACGTACCGTAACATGGTTAGAGTGTATCGTTTCACCCCTATTGACTTCCATGACAGTTTAGCATTATGTACGATACTCATACTTTTAAGAATGATTGAATGAATGTTGTTTTCAGATCATTTACACTGCAAAACAGTAGTTGACAGCATGATTAATGATCCACAAATGTAGCATATGATTCAGCAAACACTATGGTTCAATTCACATTTTGGTATGACGCGGCCAGGGATCGAGAAGCGGCATGAAGCCATACTCAGTCCTTCCACCAGAAATCCATGGTGTAAGTATGGTAACACAGTGAGCAAATATGCTTAGTTTTACGCCACATTCAGCAATATGCCGGCGGTCTGTAAATAATCGTGTCTGGACCAGACAATCCAGTGACCAACAGCATGAGCATTGATCTATGCAAGCGGGATACGATGACATGTGTCAACCAAGTCAGTGAGCCTGACCACCCGATCCCCTTAGTTGTCTCATATGACAAGCATGGGTTACTGAAGATCAATTCTAACCCGGATCTTCACGGCTTATGGTAACATACAACCTGCAATCTAGGACTTACTGGATGATGCATTTTGGGTTGCTGAGCATGTTGTTTCTTGATCTCCTCCAGACGTCCTTCCTCTTTCTTCCTCTCTTCCTCTGACAAGTGATTTAATTTGTCCCTCTTCTCATATTCCTTCTCCATTTCATATTCTTTGAACTCTTCCTTCCTCTGTTCATCCAGCTTTTCAAGGTCATTTGTCGTCTGTAGGGAGGAACAGAATAATTGTCAAAACAAGTTCAGGAGGATCTATACATGCAAGTGCAAGTGTAATAGTTAAGCTAACTCAGCCTCTTCAACAAAACAATATCAGCATTCAGAGATGCATTTGAAAGTACTGTTGAAGTCATTCAGCTGTTTCCTAAACTGTCATAACGATGTCAGATATTACAAAGACTAAGCTACAGAATTCAGCATATAAACATGCTAAATATAAACAAGTGATGCTTGTTACCAACCTCCACCAACACTACTACTACGTCCCAAATGTCATCAACATGTAGAGACGAGTGAAAGGACATTGTTGTCATGGTGATTATTTACCTGTTTAATGAGCGTCTCCAGGTCCTTCATTTCAAATGAGTGTGGATTCTGTACGTCAAGATGGGCTGGTATCTCAACACCTCTGACACCTGCCATACAAACACACAAAACAAAATGATCAATATAAACAATCTCAACAAAATACATCAATCATGACATAAACATAACTTTACAATTGTAATAAAGAATACTGCTTCTATCATAACTGACTGAATGACTGAGTTTGGTTTTACACCGCTTTTAGCAATATTCCAGCAACATCACGGTGGGGGACACCAGAAATGGGCTTCACACATTGTACCCATGTGCGGATTTGAACCCGGGTCTTTGGCGTCACGAGCCAACGCTTTAACCACTAGGCTATACCCCACCGCCCCTATCATAACTGAACTAGAACTAGTAGAGTCAGGACCATCCATCAACTACCTGGAAACTCACTACTAAATCTAGACGTTCCTAATACAAAAGGACATTATCATGATTACGTTTCTTGTTGTTTAATGTTGCACTCAGCAAGTATATATGGCCTGTATGTAAACAGTCCAGTTTGGACCAAACAATCCAGTGATAGACATCAAGGGCATTGATCTACGAAACTGGGATACAATAGCATTCATTAACCAAGCCAGTGAGCTGAACCACTTGATCTTGTTCATCACCTCTTAAGATTATAATGAGTTGCTACAGACCAATGTCTAACCTTGATCTTCAATGGGGGTAGTAATTATGGTCATGGGTCATAACACCAAATACTCACTAAACAGATCTTCAATATTTATAGTGAGCAGGCAGTGCTAACACTCTCTTGAGCAATATTTCAACAATACTGAAAGCCCAAAGTCAAAGTTTGTAAACATGTAACAGTGAGAGCCAGAACCATGTGAGCCTACTAGCCCCAACATATTTGATTTCAACAATGTAATAGCTGTTAAAGTTATAGCAGGGTCAATAATGAGCTGACACAAAGAGTTTACCTACACTCAGGCTTTAGAGTAATGACATAAGCAATACTTGTAAACAGCATTGTGGAAACTCACCAATTTACTGTACTGTATCATACCTGTCCATAAATCCCATAATGCATTGCACATTGACCTTTGACTTTCTACTTGGATTTTCAAAGATGTTATTACCCTAACCCCAAAAAGCAAAACTTAACTTTTGGCCTTAAGTTTTTATAGTTTATTTATGAATGAAATTAACTTGCTTGGACAACAAAAAATTAAGATCAAGTCGGTATTACAATGATGACAACAAAAACAACTTGAATTAATCATCTTTCAATATCTTTGGAAGTTCATTTTTTTCATTATTTTATTTGACTACCTACAGAGATTTTTAGCGCAAAATGTTTCTAAATCATCTAGTATATGCCTAAGGGTTGGCAAGGACAACTTCAGAAATTAATAGGGGAACAAAACTATGTAACAATACCTTTGAGTAATTTCATTTCTGGCATGGTGTCATGTGACAATGGATAGTATATTCTGACACAAATTATAAAGTCTACTGCTGAAAAAGCAAGTTTATAAAACACTCCCAGCTGACAGCCAGACAGCTTGTTAATAGTGACGCTTGGAGAACAATAACACTGGTTTCAGTTGATATCATTAATCTCAGCCCAGGTATTAGTGGGAGAATACATCATCTAGTCTGTATCATGTTATACGTACATGCAGTCAGGACCTGACTCCAGCAACATATTCTTGACTGAGTTGTAACAGATTGGGGGAAAACAAATCTCTGTGATCATGCTAATAACATGCAACGTTTGGTGGCTCATCGGGATAATTTCCTTATACAATCAATCAGCTAGTCATGCTCATTAGGGCATATAAATTGTAATGAAGGATAATGGAAGGGGGTGAGTTTCATAATCGCATCTCAAATTGTCCATGTATACAGCATTCTAGACAAAATTTACATTTCAGCTAGCTATATATCTACAGTCTTCAATCTTCAATAAAACTATCTTGAAGTTTCAAAATTTGTCAGTATGTCATGACATTCAATATGTATTGACATATCATAGACTAGTATACATGCTTAAAGGATAATAGTAAAAACTCACATGCACAATATGCAATTTTAGCTACTAGTGTGAAGCCAGAAGCCAGAGTCCAGTAAAATTCTGTTAGGTCTAGAAGGCACTGCTAGTAATAGTCTAATAATAACATCAAAAATAACATAATATAATGCTTATAGTATATATAATCCAAGTTCAGGCTCGTAGACTCAAATGTTTTTGCAACAGTTTCCCATGCGGTTCATAAAGCAAAATCTTGCATGGAAAGTGAAACATCAATGGTGTCTTGACTACATTTGAGGTTAACCTTAATGTCCTGTAAAAACCTAGACAGCTCCAAGTGAGTGAGTTTAGTTTTACGCCACTTTTAGCAATATTCCAGTTATATCAGGGCAGGGGACACCAGAAATGGGCTTTACACATTGTACCCATGAGGGGAATCGAACCCGGGTCTTCGGCGTGACGAGTGGGACACCAGAAATGGATATACTACAGTAAAGAAGTCATAGAACAAATGCTTGTTCTATTTGATTAGTTAATCAGTCAGGTCAAATTATCAATATTTATATGAAACATCAGGTGTTCCTTAACTTCTATTGAGCTGAATGTTTTCCATGTTGTTTAGAATTCTCAACAGTCATTTACTTCGTACTGATCTCATATAAGTTTTTAGAAATCCCAAACCTGTTCTCTCTATGTCAATATAATGTTCAAATCTTCTCAGCATGATCACTGAACTACCATGATTACTGTTACTGCTAATCTTAAGTCACAAACCATGAAAACATTGTAGGAACATGTTGCTGAAATAGACTTTCACACAGGTTCACAAACAATGCAGTACTTCACTACTCCAGCGAAGAAGGTCAGCAACAGGATACTGTTGTTTCAGTTTTTAACACCTTTTATCAATACGATCATGTCCTGTTAAACAATTAATATTTCAAAAGAAAACATTTTAAGTAACTAACTAGTCTTGAATACTGTAAATCATGAAATTAATGCGAGCATTTTATTAATGCAATAAATGCGTCTTAGAAATCCTGAACCTGTTCTCTCTATGTCAATATAATTTTGCATTATTATAATGACGCATTTCAGTCTGACCATGTCTACTTAATAAAAGACAGAAACCGTAAATCTGTTGACACTACACATTACACCAATACAGGTCACTTCCTCATTACATTAATATTGTAATTATCAGTGGTTACAATCACTGGTCATTGTTTAAAGTCACTCAAGCACATCAGCCAGGTCGGACATTCTCCAGCCACTTGTTTGTTGTACCTTGGTAGATGACTTATGTCTTTCAAGTCGGATTAAGTTTATACATGTTGTCATAAGACAAGTAGTAGCAAGCGTCACGTGATCAAACATGGCAGCGTAATCAAAACATCATCAGCTCATTTCCATTCACTGCTTAACAAGCTCAATTCATTTGATCATCAACACAGATTCTTGAGCTCACATTAATTTTGTGACGCATTTTAGACTAGACCTTCGCCCTCGCATTAAATTTGTGAGGCATTAATTTCATGATTTACAGTATTTAATTTATACATAGTACATACCATACACTGAAATATATATTTAAAGTATTAATTTCTGCAAGATTTTCATGTCAACATGTTAACTTTGATCTTATTACTTGCAAAAAAGAAAGTACTGACTATGACAAGTTTATTAATGCAATACAGGTCTTAAAACCATGGCATTACAAAATCTTCACAGCTTTACACTTCACAGTTACCTGAGTCATTAAATACAATTTATTTCCTTATCAACACAGCTGATGATGTAGAGTCACCACAGGGATGAATTATCATCTGAATCATCTTACCGTTAATAGACAACACCTATGACAAGTTACATGTCCTCCCTTTGGAGTTATTACAATATAATTACAACACAGGTTTAATGTATGTGCTGGTTATTGTGAAAAAAGTGTTGTTTAAAGTGTGTTCGGTGCAAACATGAACTGATTAATTAAACGCACTGTGAAGCACATATACATTATTTTCATCAAAATATTTCTACATCAATTTTTAACATGCTTAAAAAACATGGAATCAGGTCTCTTGTTTTATCTGGAATCTCCATTCAATTTTTCTCAACACTATGTGAGTGAGTGAGTGAGTATTGCTTTACGCAGCTTTTAGCAATATTGCAGCAATATCACAGTGGGGGACACCTGAAATGGGTTTCCAAAAAATTAGATTCAGATAAAAGCTGATTATTTCAGATATCATGTTCAAAGTAAATTGATGTAATGGAAGCTAAAGTTTGTGTAACACCTAAAAAAAAGAACTTGCTAATCTCAGTTGTCTTGTGTTTAATCAACTAAACTAAATAAAGAGGATAGTCAGTAGAATTATTATCCATAAGGTTGAAGGATAGGGTTAAATATTTTGTGGTAATAAAAACTCTGTGACAGAGTAAGCTTGAACAGCTTTACTTGCATGAATAATGCAACTGTTCAAACCAAACAGGTAAATCTTAACCTTTATTAAAAAGAAATAGATTACCAAATCAAACCAAAAATAAAAACGAGAATTTTCAACTGCATTCATTTTCAAGGTCTAACATATGTACAGTTCCTAAACAATACCTTTACTCCAAAACATCTGTAAGATATCTCATTCAATTAATTTTGATATACACGTCAAACTTCACTGTATTTTATTCTGTCACCAAGTCTAAACAGGGATGTGACAACTCACTATTCTACACTCCAAACAACAAAATACCGGTATATCCCCAAAATGAAACCTTTCAAAACCCAGTATGTGTGAGTTGTCACATCCCAAACTCAACTGAAAGGTGTTCTAGGGAGCAAGGCAGCATACGTTGTGAGCAGACGACAACTACAGCAGGAGACGGCATTGTAGCACAGACGTCAGTGCAGAAAACTGCTCTTTGTCAACAATAATGGCCTACCTCCATGATAGGCTATGTAATGAAGGACTTTCGTACCCTGCATCGACCTAATCTGTAAACGACGGAGCTCCTGAAGGCGATAGATTTCACGACGCTTGATCTCATCCAGTTTAGTGCGGACCTGATGTCCAACAAGTTCTATGTGTTTTGCAACACTTCCATCCTACAAGAGACACAAATACTTATATTACCTCACACATAAATGTCACTTTCTGATTGGCTGAGCGCTCTTCTATTATTTTCAATGTATCCCGCTTACAAGCAAGTAACATTTCAATGTACGCCGCTGTCAACGGCAACTCATTTCGTTGTAGTAATTCTTTATCTCGAATCACATTAAATCACGAAATGATGTACGGAAATTACTGATGTTTTGCGAATGCATATCAATGGAAGGGAGATAACTCTAAATCTGTTTTTCTTGTCAGCAAATCTAGAGATGGCTACAAAAAGATTTGTAGCAAACAATTCAAACTTAACATTAAGGTGTTCGGTAAGATAAATATGTTGTTCATGCCCATGGGTTGATGTACATCGTGACCAGTGAACAACTTATAATACACCTCTTTTTGCAAAACTCAGATGTGAATTTTACTTGATTATACATGGAACAAATTAACAGTCGATGATTAGCAACATATAGTGAGTGAGTGAGTGAGTGAGTGAGTGAGTGAGTGAGTGAGTGAGTGAGTGAGTGAGTGAGTGAGTGAGTGAGTGAGTGAGTGAGTGAGTGAGTGAGTGAGTGAGTGAAGTTTAATGTCGCACTCAGCAACATGCCAGCTATATGGCGACTGTCTGTAAATAATCAAGTCTGGACCAGACGATCCAGTGATCAACAGCATGAGCATCGATCTACACAATTGGGATACAATGACATGTGTCAACCAAGTTAGCGAGTCTGACCACCCGATCTCGTTACTCGCCTCCTACGACAACCTTGGGTTACTGAAGATCAATTCTAACCCGGATCTGCACTGGTCTATGCATAGTACACCAGGACAATTTCAACAACAAAAGATGCTGACAGAGCCAGACTACAAGACATCATGGTCTCAAGTTCAGAAAACAATGTGATTCAATTCATTCATTCAATGTATCTTGTATCATTGACCAGTTAGCTACATAGAAATAGATAAGGAATACTTGTAATATTCAGTTTTTACCACTACGAACTTCTACTGCCACTAAATAATGAAAGAAAGGTTTACTTACCTTTATGTCGGATACATTAGACTCTTCTAGTTTCTTCCTGAAGTCTGGATCTTCCTCCAGTGCCATGACAACTTCACGGAGATAGCGATCATATGGTAAATTTGTGCCCTGGAAAAAAATCAGTCAAAAACTTCTTAATACAAATGAAATTGGATTTTCAAAGTACTTGAAGAGATAATTATCAACACTATATTTTTGCTACCAAAAACACACAGAGCTGATAATTTCTAATTTCACAAAGAGTAAATAAATAACAATTTAACAGATACACAGTCTAGACAAATCAAAAAGTCTACATCAACTCATCTCAACATTCTGCCTGAAGCATCATCTAAGAGAAGCCAGAGCAGACTATTTACCAGTCCTGTATCACAACCTGTGAACCTGTGGTCCTCATGTTAACTGCTCAGACCACTGGCAACTCTTAATGGTTGGGTAATGGTTGGCCATTCAGCTGCTGTCTAGCAGACATTGTTAAGCACTGGTAAGTCAAAACCAGCTAAACTGAGGGCAGAAGTGACAGCAATATCACAGACCATTCATACAAAGTGAGTGAGAAGAGTTTAACAGCACTTTTAGCATTATTCCAATAATGTGCTGACAGTATACCAGTGAGTGAATAAGTATGGTTTTACGATACTTTCAGCAGTATTCCAGCAACATCATGGCAGGGGGACACCACAAAAGGGCTTCATACATTGTACCCAAGTGGGGAATCAAACCCAGGCCTTCACCGTGATGAGTGAACACTTTAACTAGGGCTGGGACGGGTCCAAATTTTCTACCCGGGTACCCTACACCCTGTTACCCTACCCTACCCGGATACCCGATCAAATTTGCATGAAATGGCAATATATTCTTCAGCTCGGGGGCTAACATTTCGAGTTTTTCAATATCTTAACCATGCACTATATTCAAAAGAAGTGACTGTAACCTATGTCTAAATCTTCAAAGACAATACAACCTTTTAAATGTTTAATCATGAAAGAATAACATATTACATTGTTTAATGTATTAGTCCGGGTCCAACTCATTACCCACTCGTCCCGGGTATCCGGGTTACCCGTCCCAGCCCTAGCTTTAACCACTAGGCTACCTCACCACCCCGACAGTATACCAGATATACACCAGCAATATGCCAGAAATATTTACAACAATGTTCCTGCAATATTCCAGCAACATGACAGCAACATTACAATACCACTCCAGCAATACTCCAGCAATAACACTGTCTGGGGACCCCTGGAATTGTTTACATACCAAGTACCCCTGTGATCTTTAACATAACCAGTGTCTTTTTTAAACAACATTTGTGTAGGTTTTTTCAGAAACATTACATGTCACACATTTCTTCCTGCAAAGTCAATTCATTATAACAAGACATGGTCATCAATATCCCCCGCCATAATGTTCTGCTCCTATTTGGTTCCTGTGTTTTAACTCCACCATGACATTCATGTCCTGAAAACACATACCAAATATGGTTTCCCTATCTACAATGATTTCTGAGAAAATCTGTCCCCATTGGGGACACCGTTCATAAAGTCAAGAAATGCATGACAAGGGCCATAACTCTGTAACAAATTGTAACATGGTTTCGTTTTTCTAACTCCATCAAGGCATTCATGTCATGAAAACACATGCCAAATTTGATTTCCCTATCTATAACGGTTTCTGAGAAAACCTGACCCATCATCTCGGACGGACAGAGCTCAAACCTATATTCCCCCTCACTTTGTGGTGGTGGATAATTAATGAATGCCACTAAGAAACTAAGTGACAAAGAAACAGAGCAGCTTTACATTTTGATCTAGACTTTTTTAAAGGTCACATGCAACCAAAAAATTAAACATAATTAAAACACAATTATCACTTATTCATGACATATAATATACATTGCTGGTTATGAAAAAACATATAAACAAAATTATAAGCGTACAATCGCAAATCAAAAGTGCAATATTTTGTACTTGGGTTTACTTCCCAGGAAACAAAGCAGCCGGGATACCGAACCCAGTCAGAGCGGGTGGGTGTGCACGCAAGTGTAACGGCTGGTTCATTTGTAGATGCCCTCACGGCTCATTGTGTGTGCATATATAGAGATGTTGGGTTTTGTAAATACATGCTCATTATTTGTGTATAACATTTTGCAATCAACAGACATCATAACATGTCATGTGTACAAGTATCACACCTGCCTGTCTGTGTAATTACATAAAGTGACAGAGACCGAACTCGGGCCATAAATCAATGCGTTTTGTTTATGGTGTATAGCCTGATAGGTGTTAAGTTCAAATTGCATGTGGTCAGTGATTGAAATTGTGTATTGAATATTGTCATTAGCAGACGGGCAGGCAGACACATAGGTGCCAATAAAACAGACATTGAGTTTTGTCTGTGACAACGACATATCTATATCACAGTTAGAAATTCTGTCGACGCTAAATAATGACATTGCTCTTAAGTATCGAACTGAGAAAGTGACTCAGTAAGAAGAACGTGTTGTGAAATAGACAAATGAAATTATATAAACAGTTAAATCGGTAATCTACTGTAATAACATATAAAAAATTCGGGCCTGTGAAATATTAACAAAACATTAGAAAAATAGCTCACACCAAAGCCTTCACCGAATATTCAGCGGACAACCCGCTTCAAAGCTCCGTGAACCTATTTCACTGCGCATGTGCTATGAGCGCAGCCCAGCTGTTGAAACCACTTCAATTCCCCCAAGCGATGGGGGAAAGTTGGTGAATCGTTTGAACTACGATTTCGCGCGGGGTTTTTTTCATCGCGTAATTTTTCAACTTTATAAGTTGAATTTGCATTTTTGATGATTTGTTTCGGTAAAATCCATACCGAAAGGTATCAGAATCTGCAAAGTTGTGTTTTACGTTGCATGTGACCTTTAAGACAATGATGTCGCTTGCTCTTCTAAAAAAAGAAGACTTTAAGTGAATCAGATAGGTCACACACGCCAATATCTTCGACACTATAGTTATACCATCAACCCTGTCGAGAGTTTGGCACAGTTTTGACCAAACTTAACACATAACATATTCCATGTTTTTCTGCTACTTAACTTCCAAATGAAAGTGTTGAAACAGCTGCTGATAAACATGATAAACTTAGTTATGTATTGCACTCATTTTACGAGTGGTAGTTGAAATGCTCGTAATCAAAACAAGTTCCACACTTGGTTATTCAGCTCAAGGCATTTCCATTCCAAATCACAAACTCCATCACCATTATTACTATCATTTAGATTATAACAGTTATAAGCATCAATTCAAAACTGGACCTGTATTCAGTCAGTGTGGGTATAAAATGGTTATATATGAAAACCATGTCAAGCACAATCAATCAAAACATCACGTTTATTCTGAATCGAGTTCTTATCAGGTATGTCAAGCATGACAAATCTATTCTCATAACTTATAAACTATCAAAAGCTAGTCAATATTTTATCATGTATGCCGTGTAACAAACGAAAATACAGCAGAAATATGCTGATTTGTTGACTGCAACTGGAATCATATGTTTTCAAATTTCAGATAGCAATGATGTGATTTTGTAGGTGAGAAACATATAGGCTTGGGGGCACTATACAGCTTCTGGTTTTTATTGCCAACAGGCTATCTAGACAATCAACATGAACTGGTCCTTGAACAGGTTCTGCTATGGCTCACATGTTTTTACATCAATGTAACATAATTAATAATATGTATTGTGAGGCAGGATCTGGAGACAGATGTATCGTATTGTGAGCCTCACATCTCAATAAGATACTATATTGTCATACTGTTTCACTGTTCCTGCAGAACAGGCTCGGCATCTATTGGTGTTCATCTGCATCAAATATTTTATGAATACACAATGCCACTTAGAAATTGGTTGCATGTAACATGTATTATATTTGGGATTACACTTCTCCTGTAAGTACAGATTCCAGGACTTATTTTGAGTCCTGTCCAAGATTCGAACCCCGACTCTCAGAGTCTGGCACCTTATTGCCAACACACAAAGTCAACCATCTTACCAACTCTGCCACCATGCTTCAACAAAATGGAAGTCTGACAACTGGTAGTCTGGACCACTTACCATGCTTACTAAGTGAACCCCTATGACGAGTATAAATTGGCATCGCAACCACAACCAAAGTTATGAATACACAATGCCATTTAGAAAGTGGCCAAATGTTACATTTGAATGTTACATTTTGTGATTTCAAGTTGATCTTCTATCTATTCTAATCACACTTTATTTTGCCACCACTGCCTTTTAATAAGTAATTGAAAATCCCCAAAACAAGTTAGACTAACCTTGATTGAGTTCATAATCTTAGAATTAAGTCAGCAAAACTTTGAAACAGAAAATGCTTAAACTACACAATAAGCTTTCATTAATGACCAAAAAACCCATAAAAAGTATAACATAAAATCTCAAAACAATATTTTAATCAATACTGGTTATATTTCAAAATGAAATCAAATGTTTATTCAATAACAAAGTCATTTGGTACTCATTAATTTTGTTCAAAAACTCGAGAACTGACAGACATTGTGCCCAAAATCTAAATCATCCAAGGATCTGACAGTTAACAATATGATCAGCCTTGAGTTGATTAATTTTTTTATCATTATTGATGAATTCTGGATGACCAATTTTGGAATGAAAATCACTTCTAAACCTGAGTTCACTCCAGCTGGGCCTAGAGATGTTTCATAGAAGTGAGCTGTGTATCAGTGCTATTAATATCTAGTGCTATTATGGGCATGATATGGCATGCTATTCCCCTAGAGATTAGGTCAGACTTGTAAGATGTTTCATTACATTATTTGCATGCTTTTCCAAAATAGATTCTTTCATCACATTCAGTATATCAGGAAAATAATAAGCTTTGGGTCTATCACAAGATCAGTGATTGATTGATGCTGAACATACACATTGTCAGTGTTGGACTATAAGGAGATCCTAGGTTTCTTGAGGCTGCATGTGTGGTATTTGAGTGAGTGATTATGGTTTTATGGCTCTTTCAGCAATATTCCAGCAATATCATGACAGGGGGCACCAGAAATAGGCTTCACACATTGTACCCATATGGGGAA